GTGTGGGCGCCGGCGGGCGTGTGCTGCGTGGCTGCACACCCACTGCTCTGGAGGGGACTTCATCTTGTTGTGGGTTTCACCTACAGCTCGACGCTTCACCGCGCTCTGCAGCCCCTTCCTAGGGCCGCCTGAGGGTTGCTGCCCTTCCTGTGCACGAGCTGGGGCCTTCCTGCCTCCGGGTTCCGCAGGGCGATGCTTTGGAGGCCTCGGCTCGCACACAGGGCGCTCCACCTCCCCCGCCCGCTGTTTTAAGTGTTTTATGAGCGTTGGCTGAAATTCCCACTGTAAGAATCGCTATTTCAGTTTGTCAGTGTGCTGTCCTTGTGCGGCCAAGAAGTGGTTTCCAGTTCCAGCCCACTGTGCTACCTTTTGTTTGTGAGTTTTTGATGCTATTGTGAATAGATCTTTTTGGTATCTTCAAGAGCTTGTTTGACAATGGGTGAGTTATGCCATACTTGGTTATAACAGCAGATATTTTGGAAGCTGTTTTGTAGGTATATGTCTCAGAGCAGATGTACTGGGTCTTGCTCTACAGCCAGCATTGGCAGCCCTTCTCTTTCTGTGTGCCCCTGACTGTAGGTAGGGCTATTATATGAACCTGAATGCAGATGTGCTCTTCCTGTAACAGCTGATTCTCAGATGGGGGTTTAATTGCCTAATTAGGGCTAAATATATGGCAGATGTTTTGTCTGCTGACCTTTCCACACCCCTCTCTTTCTTTTGCAGAGCCTGGATTTCTGGAGGCTGCTCTATGTTCTTCTGAAAGAAATCCATGGAGAGAAGTGGACAGAGTCTGATGCCATAGGTAACCTAGTCAGTCTGGCTGACTGTGATTTTCATCTGTCCTGGGGAAGGACTGGGACTGGCTTTCTAGCACCTTTTCTTTGGCTCCTTGCTCCTTGTCAGAAACGATCCGTTTTCAGCACTTGTGCTACCATCTTACTGCTGCATCAAGTTGTCTGGGCAGGTTTGCTCCTCTGTGTCTTGCTTTGCCCATGAAACTGGGATGTTCTTGAATGTACTAGAGGCTCTTACTTCCCTTTGACATTTCACTGCAGGTAAATCTCTGCAATAATGTTATGCATTCTCAACATCTGCAGAGATAATTGCAGAAGTAGGTTTGGTTTTCCTTTGATTCCTTGTGATTAATTCTCTATCAAGTCCTATGTCAGGGCCATCAGTTATGGCATATGAACTATAAAGGCAGTGTTTTGATTTAAAGTTCGAGACAAAACAAAGAGTACAATGTGTGTGATTATTTTAGAGGGATCATGAATAACTTTATGGACAGGGCCACTACTCCAGAGAGAAGCTGCAGGTTGGCTTCTCACAATGGCAAAGCACCATTTACTTCTTAAATGTATGTTATTCCAAGCGTGGTCCTACTTCCCAGACTTCTCTCTTGAAAGATGTCTCTCTAGAGCCCTTTCATTGGCAGAGGACGTTTTGAGAATGGGGTTGTCTGTGATGGATAGAGGCCTCCTTAGACCAAAACCACTTAAAATCCTCTCTTGCCCTTGAAAGCAAGAGACCCAAACAACATTGTTTGAGCCCCTGAAGAGCTGGGAATCTGATGACTCTGTAAATGGAGTAAAAAAGGCTAAGCACTGTGGAGCGTGGAGCAAAACCAGCGTAGTTCTGCAGGTAGCTAAGCAGGAAATCGGTGTGGTTTGGTGTTTGTTACAGGACTGCTAGTTTTCATTTGGCTGGTTTTGCTTTTCCTCTTATCCACAATCTGATGTGTATGGTAACTCAGTTTATTGTCTGTCTCCTGCAGCTTCGTGGAGGTGGTCCTGCACCAGTGCAACCTCTTGGAATCCTGGCTGCTCCCATTCTAATTGCTTGTGGCACCTGGAGACAGGATTGCCATGTGCATGTGGCAGGTTGATGGGTTCTGTTTGGAACTGCTGAGCTGAGTTTTAGGAAACATGTTTAGTCACAACTTGGTGATTAAAGCTGAAATTCAGGTTGGAGGGCTGTACTGTTTTTCAGGTTACATTAATTACCTTTGCTTGTCCAATTGAATGAGTTGTCTGCTGCAAGCACGATTGATATTTTACTTCCTTTCTTCTCTGTCCCTACTCTGGAGCACTTGTGCTTTCGTGTATTTATTTCATGCAAATGAAGTGGAAGTCTTGGGCGTAGGGACTAATTAACTTTCTCAGGTTTGTATGGGATCCTGTTGCACAACAAAGATTTGAAATTGATTCCTCTAATTCAAGTCTAGTGCTTTAGTCCACATATCAGGCATTCCTTTCTTTGCTGTTTTTGTGCAACTTCTTAATTATCTTAGCTAGAAAGGAGGAGAGCAGCAGTTGCTGGATCCCAGAGGAAGTCTGTGAGGACTCCTTTGATGTCTGTGTGCACAGGACTAGCTTTCTGGAATAAGAGAAGCCTTAGTCAAATGGTCTTCTACTCTTTCTTTTTCTAAGGGAAAAATCAAACTTTGGCCCGTAGTCTGTATGTGCTGTTGGGGTCACTGTGCTTCTTCTCACTGCTCTGTAGAACGAGACCTACGTTTCAAGGACTATTTGCCAGATGTTGTGAGGTGCTAGGAAAAGTAGTACCTTGCAAGGACAGAATGCTCTTCCAGATTTTGCCCATGGCAGACTTTCCCAGAAAATTTTTCCTTGATCTGAGAAGTCCTTTCTAACAAGTGATTTTCAAAGCTGCACCCCATTGTGTGTGTCTGTTTTGATTTAGTAGTTTTCATTAGTCAGTTTTTGATCTGATCTTTTCATACAGGTGAGTTTTAGGGGAGATTAGTTTGCTTTGAATACAACAGCTACTAGTCATTCCCTTGTTATGGTTGTGATGTGATGTTGTTTAAAAGAACTTTATGCATTGTATTTATAAATAATTTATGTATTTTATTGCCTAGCTAGCAGAAACAAAATATTTGAAAGATCACATATAAAAACAATCCACACAGTTTGATGGTTTAGAATGTAGGAGCTATTGCGTTCCTACAGAAAGAAACCAGAAATGGCACTGAAGTGTGTCAGGCAGGGGTTGTAAAATTCTGCAAATGGCTCTTCTGGTTTCTCATTTCTGAAGATTTTTTTTCTTCACGTGGTAAAAACCACTTAGTGTCAACTTTGGTGGGAAGCCATTAACACACTCCAGCCTCTCCAACATGTCAGAAGAACGGGTCTCTCATCAGTGGAGTCACAGTAAGCTGTGTTGGTACTCACAGTACCAACTTACACACTAAGTTGGTACTCTGGGCATTACTGTACCAATGAAGTCATGATGAGTGGTTTCACGCTGCTCTCTCTTCACAGAGGCTGAGAGCTGATGGACTTGGTTAACATCCTAACCACCACACCAGGCAGCACTGCAATATGCATCTAGATAGTTGGAGGAAATGTTTCTTTTCTGGAGTTGCAACTAATTTTTTATAGTATGGGAAAGGGGTCTGTAAAAAGTCTGGGAAAGAGCTGCAATATATTTTTGTTTGACAAATGAAGCAGAAAATGTTCTTCTGCAGCAGTGGTTTCCCATAATACCTCTGCCTATGCAGGTGTTTCTTGCCTGAGTGCATGAAATAATGGATCTGTGTCTGTTCTTGTACTTGATCTAGTTCCTTCCCATCTTAGCCTGTCAGGCTAACGCATACCCTTATTTGAATATCGTGTTATAATTCACTGAAATATTCTGCAGGATTCACAAAGCAGAAGAGCACACACAACTTGAGTATAGTTTTAAAAGAGCTGAACTTTGAGGTTTACCCACAGCTTAGTCTTACTTGCTGAACATACTTTTATAAGTGCTGTGCATTCAAAAGGGGATTAGTTGGAAGGACCCTGTGGGTCTTTCTCTATAAATTGCCTAATCCTAATGAAATGCCCAGAGAAGTTATTGTCAAAGAGGAGGTGTTTGAGTGACTGGTGTTATCTGCTATCTGACTGATGGTTTTTCCTCTCTATCGGCTGCACGTTATGGAAGAGTCTGTCTTGGTCTTGGGTATTTATATAGCCTCTACTGCCATTTATCTGAGCACCATTTCCTTGTAAGCAGAGCACTGTAGAGATGAGGAAAACTAAGTGACTTCTTTAAGGTAATGGGAAGGCTCTTGAGCCCCAGTTCCAGATCCATGCTTTGACCGCTCAGCCACAGTTTTTGCCTGATACAGCCTCTCATGTGAGGGCAATGTATTGCAGAGGGAGAGACAAAACAGGGGGAGATAAAGGACCAGAGATGCAGGGGTGAATTGCCTCGATGGATCTGGTCCTCACTGGTGTTTCAGGGTGGGGAAGTGCTGATAAAGGAAAAAAACACCTGGGTTGCTCTCTGTTCCTTCCTTCTCTTGGGTATGTGATTTCTTGTGGAGCTTCCTGAACTGCAGATGGCAGCATATGATGCTTGTTTGCTTTGGAAAAGGAGGAACGTATGTACTGCTCTTTCTTCTTTTTTAAGTATTTCTGCCTCTACCTGTTTTGGCAGTTCCTTTCTTGACAAATGCACAAAGAAAAGGGCAATATGAAAATGTAGCTCATGTGAGAATGTTTAAGAGTGATCAAAATAAAATCTCGTTTAATATCTGAGTGCTCCCCCTGTACACGAGGGGTCTGAGTGCTTACCTACAGCAAGATTTTTAGCTAGCCATAGGCATGTCTACCACCCTAGCACCACAAAGGGAAGCTGCTTGCTTTTACATGCACAGGTTTTGCAAAAAGAGCAAGTGAAGTGATTTAGATATTTGGGTTTCCTTTGTGTCTGTAATGCAGAAACAAGATAGGGTTAAAACCAACTGTTCAACTGTCATGTGTCTCTGCAAAAGCTTTGCTGCACAAACTAACTAGTCTTGAAAAAAAATGAGCTCTGCACTATCATGTCACCTGCTTAATCATGCTTTTGATCTTGTGTTTTGTTTTTCAGTCATGGTTAATGTCTTTGTCAGGAATTTGTTTGTAGCTTTCACGTGGCAATCGTGTATTCCCGCTCCTGCTGTGAAGATGTGCAGCAATCTGTCCTGCTTTCAGCAGTGTGTTTATGCTGAGGAGCACTCTTAAAGTAGGCAACTCTTTAGGGACCCACACCCTTGTTTCCCTAAATCCTGAAGCTGGTCAAACAGTGCAGACAGTATACTTCTCTGTGGCTTGTCAGGGCACAAATGGCCTGGTGAGTCTTGATGACCAGCTCCGTCCAGCCTCAGCAGGGCTGTAGAGATGTACAGCTCCTGTAGAGTTCAGCTCACCTTAGAGCTCCTCTCTGTGGCTTGGCTTTGGATTACTTTTGATGGATAAGACTCCTTTAGCATTTTGCAAATCAAGTTAAGGCAACCACTCTTCACTGTGTGAGTCTTTTGTAATTAACAAATTCCTTTTGAGAGCAACAGGATATTTTTTTTTCTGTTTTTTTTTTGTGTTTTCAAGTTGGTGGTGATGTGGTTTTTGAGCTTCAGCAGTTAGTGCCAGACAAAGAAAGATTAGAGTATGTGTCAATGCTAAGGAACGTTTTCACCGCAAGTGGCAAGGAGTAGGCAAATTAGTATGTTATGTGATTGTTATGTTAATTAAGGACAGCAATGATAGTCACTGATTGTGAGGTTTGTGCTTCCTGATTTTTTTTTTTCTTGTGTGTACCTTTTTTATGAAACACTACAGTGAAGCACTACACTGGACAACGGGAACAACTTGCTTCCTTACTTTATAAGAATGTCTCAACTGGATCAAACTGAAGGCTCCTGTAGCTCCATCCAGCTGTGGAAGCCATCAAAAGTGGATGTCCAGGGGAAAGGAAAGAGCTAATACAGAATGATGCTTCCAGGGGGTATTACTTCAGCCTCCAGACTTCCCAAACCAGCAGAGATATCTTTGTATTGCACAAGCTTCCATGAAGTCCTGTTCCATAAATCCGCTTGCTCCTTGAGCCTGTGTAACTGTCCGTGTCCATAGTGTCCTGTGGCCAGAAATTTCAGAGCTTTGCTGTATGCGTCAAGAACATCTCTTTAACTTGGTTTGACTCACATGCTTGCTAACTTTGTTTTGTGGCTCACAGTTCCTGTATTGATTGTGGTGCAAAGAAATTATTCCCTATTCACCCTTTCCACAGGACTTCTGGTTTTGAAGAGTTTTGTCATATCCTCTCTGTCATCGTCTTGACCCATGTCATCAGTTTTTACAACGAAGCTGTTCTGTACCTGTGATCGTACTTGTCCTTTCTCTTTGTTTTTTTTTTTTTTTTTTTTTTTTCCCCCCCAAGTCTTTGGTAGCCTTTTTGAGACTGAAAAAACCACACTGTTCATTTGAGATGTGGAGTCACGGTGGATATAGACAACAATATAAGGTTGTTTCCTGTGCTCTCTTTACTTTCTTTTCTAGGTTTCTCACATTCGGTTTGCTTTTGAATACATATAAGAACAGAGTGTGATATTGTAATGAGAAGTCTTATTTAAGATGGTGTTCCTGAGTCCAGTGGTCAGCTCCAAGCCCGTTGCTATGTCAGTGAAGTTAGGATTGTTTTTTCCTTTTGTGGACATCATTTTTCATTTTTTCTAAAAAGAATTTTCTCTGTCATTTGAAAGCTTGGGCTCATTAGGTTATGCAGCCCTTCACGATCTGCCTGCATTCTTTACTACTGAGTAATATCAGATCAGCAACAAATTTTCTGTCACTAGCACATTGTTTCGAGTTGTTTCAACAGCCAACTGCTTAGCACAGGGCCTGCATGTGAAAACACCATTTGTTCCTACCCTCTGGTTCGTGTCTTCTAGGCACTTGTCATTGATTCAGGGGCCTTCTTTCTCCCTCTAGTGCATGGGTGTAGTTTTTTTGTGCTAGTTAGACTTCCCAGAGGGATCCAAATGTCCTGCAGGCGTTGAATTTCCTTAATCACTTGCTTGTTGTTGCCTTTGGAGAACTCCAGTAGCTTTTTGAGCTGGACTTCCTTTTACAACAACTCTTAGTTCTCCCCCAGTATGTATCGTTTATCATTGTGCTCCCTAACTGTTCTTTATTATAGCTCTGACTTAGTACAGAGCTGAAGCTTACTGATCTGAACACTTTTTAATAATAATTTTCTCTGTTTCCTCATTACTTTACGGTTCTATAGTGCCTGTCTTGTAGCTGTCAGGTAACATTTACTGCTGTGAAGGAATATGGATCAGAGCATTCCTGAGAATTAAATAGTCCATGTGGTCTGGTATGCAGTGTGGTGTACTGCATTATCTCTGCCTGCTCACTGGTGCTCAGAGATTTGCAGCAGGCTGTGAAACTCCTATCTCTAAATTCCAGTCTCATTTGGGAGTAAAGCAGCTCAGAGTGTTTACTAATTCATAGCGTGCTTGGTGGCTCATAAAAAATGAATAGGTGAGTTGGAGTCCTGTTATAGTGGGGATGGCTATTTGCCTTTTTGCCTTTGTTGGTCTCCAAGAGGCTATTACAGGCCCTAATCTCAACACTGAATTTCTTCTTTTCCCTCAGCAGTAGTCCCTGTAGATCAGAATGGGGCAGCATAAGGAAAGCTTTTACCCTTTACCTCCTGTCCTTTATCAGTTGTTGATAAAGGCTGTAGTCTCCACTGTCCTCCACTAATCTTAGGCTTGATTAAAAATCTTGCCCTCGGGGGGGCATCAGTTTCTGGAACTGAATGAGTAAATGCACCGAGTTGTGCAGTGTGTTATTCTCAATTGTTTTCTTCGTTTCAGATAAGCAAATTAGGTTTGTAAAGTCAGCCCTGTGGTACCACGGCTACGGCAGGCCAGAACTCTCTCGGCTCCCCTCCGACGGCTCAGCGGGTAGTCGGGAGCTGCTGCTGGCCTTTTCCTGGCTGCTGCACAGGCTCAGCCTCCTGGAGCAGCTTTTGGCTCGGAACAGAGTAAAGACTGGGGATGAAACCTCTGTGTGCACGGTGAGCATGTTTGTGTCCTTCACCTCTTCTGCCCATAAGTAATGTGCTGTGACAGGGGCCGTGTTATCGCTAGTGTGCAACATGTGGTAGCTTGGTACCTTTACAAATAAATGCCTTACTCCAGCTTTAAAAAAATGCAAAGGGGCCAGCATCTGGAAGTTGTTTTCTTTCCCTTCTCTAAACTTTCTGTGTGCAGGTAATCTGGGTTCCTTCTCTTTCTCAAGCTCCTCCCTGAATTCCCTGATTTTTATTTCCAGTATAGGTTACACCAGCATGGAGGAGTGTGTGTAAGTCAAAGCCTTCAATCTCTGTGCTTCTGAACTTTGTTTCCAGACTGTAGCATGGGTGGTTCTACAGTGCAGACAAACGGGTTAGCTGTGAATGCTGGGTATGTTGGCATTGGGTAGAGCAAGTAGTCCTAAGGCAAATAGTACTTTTTAAAAAAACATCAAGATGCTTTTTAATGGCAGCTCAAATGGCAGCTACTGCTCTTGGAGTAACTAATGACCCTGTGTCCTCCTTAAGAGAACAGTGGGGTTTGTTGTTGATGCTAGCACATAGCCTGCTCTGAAGTAAGCTAAGGATAGCTGTGCGTCTGCTTTAGCTGCAATATATATATGTGTGATTAAAAAAAAAAAACAAACCAAACCTCCACAAAACTGCAGTCTACTAGTGTTTGGTGTTACTACTTTTAAAATCCATTCCTTGCATTTAAGACTGCATGCACCTTCTACTGTATAGACAATTACTCTGAAGCACAGAGTGAAAAGCTCAGGAAAGTTGATGTTTTTTTTCATGTTTAGAAAGAAAGCTCAAAGGGAAAAGTCACATTTGTAACAATGTTATTAACAGTATTTAGAGAAAATGAACCACTTGCTACAGTAGAGTTGCTGGCTGCACAGAAGAGGGAGCACAAGAGTCTGTGCTTGGTGCTCTGCTCATGGGTGGTGGTGCTGCTGCCCTAGGGTGATGTGAGGGATGCCTTGAGACTTTAGGAAAAACACTTTTGGAGAACTTTTTAGTTTAAACTTCTTACCTTTTCTTTGTCTTATTTCTCTGGTCATTTTTTTGTGTCCTTCATTTCTATTGCAAATGAGTGATGAGTGAAGTGTAGCAGCAACATGAATTCAGTAAAGGGGCAGCACATATGTTATTTCTCTGTAGGTCTTAAGTTCTGCATTTTCCCAAAAGAGATGAAAGAGCTATGGTAATACAGTGGTAATGTCTTATGGCCACACAGAGGCACGCTGAGAAGTTTGTTGCTGTGCCTTTCACTGTAATTCTAACCTGCTCTACCTGTGTTTCTCAAAGAGCATGGATTGCATATTTCATGTTCTTACCCAATAACTGTCCGAAACAGTGTTTGGAAAGGTTTACAAGTCTGGAAGCTTTTTTTCAATAGGCCAGACAAAAATTTTATAGCCTGGGGATTTGAGTTAGCATGTGTATGTATAGCTTATTTTAATGGCAACATTTCTTTTATGGTGTTTGTCTGGCAAGTTTCCATGCTCCAATAAAAATAGATGTTCATGGGGGGAGAAAAATGATAGAATGTAGCTGTAGCATAGCTAGTGTGGTTTTCTGATTCTACATCAAAGGAAAGCAGAATTTTGAGGGAGAGGCCTTATCTTTTTTTTGATCAACTAGGCATTACAAAACTAACACATTCAACCTGTAAGACCAACCAAATTGATATCTGGGGATGCACAGTTAAGGATATAAGGGTGTAGTGGTGGGTCACACACCTCATTTTGGTTGGCAAGTCATTTCCTTGTAAACCACTCACAAAAGCCTGTTGTTTGTTGCATAAAAGTGTGATAGTTTTGTTATTGTTATATACTGTTTTTTGGTAATTACTGTTTCATGTGGCAAAGTCTACTCATCAGTCAGACAGCATTCAACAATATAGTCCCTAAAATCATAGTAAGAAGGGAAGAGGGTGAGGTTGTCAGTTTGATACCTGACAACTTGTGAGTTAAAGTACAACTTGAACAATTGAAGTACTTGAATTTTGACTCTGTGAATCTTAAATACCAGACATTTGTGATACTGAAGCTGAACTGCTGGAAGAGGTGTAACAAATTGTAAAGACATTGCTATTGCACCAGAGATGTAGTGTCTACACTCATAACTCTCTTTTATTTAAGTAAATTGAAGGAAAAAGGTTAAAGGAGAAAAAACCTTCACTAGAAAAAGATGTCACAAAAAAGACAAAATGGAAAAGCTCTTTAAAACAAGTGAATTTCTCTGCTCAGAAAGAGCTTGAAAATTCTTCCACCACATGGAGTCTTTTTTTTTTTTTTTTTAAATTACTATAAAAAATTGAAAATATTTTCCTGACTTGAGAATGTTGCAAAACAAAAATCCATGAAATAGTATTTGGTTCTGTGCATTGCTGAGATCTCTGCCGGAATCAGCCAAGCACAAAAGCCAGTACTTAATGGCAAAGCACATCTGTGAGAATAAATGTGAAGAAAATCCTTACCCTTTGTCTTCCTCTGAAGAAATGGAGTCTCAAGAACTGTAGGCATAGCTGTAGTTCAAACTGATGCTCCTGTGGTTTATTTTTAAAATTTTGTCTGAAATCCACAAAAGTGGAATAGGGTCTGTTGTCCAAAGAAGAGAGAATGCAGTTAATCCCTAAATTAAGGGTACAATCATGTTCTGACTATTCTTTCAGCCTAAGTTTGAAACAAAGCCTCTAGCCTGCTGAATTGCTGATATTATGCCAAATACCCAATGTATCAAGGGCCAATTAAATTAATTCCTTTCATTTCATTTCAGATTGCCACTCTCTGGCCTTTTTTCCTTTGCAGTTCCTTAGCAACACAGTTTTCTTCCCCTGCAAATTGTACACTTCCATCAGCTCTAAAGGATTTCAGCCTGGTTATTTATAGAGGGACAAGGGTATTCATGACACATGATGGACATCGAGCTCAGCGGCTGCATGGAATTCATAATCTTGAGATGCTGAGCTGGGGAAGGCTTCTATAAACTTGCTTTTACATGCACTTTCATCTTCAGAACCAAAAGTTAAGTGATTCCTAGAATTCTGAACGGTGATGAAAGGCTGGTGAAAGGGTGAATGTGGTAGGAGGTAGTGCTTAATGTGGCTAATGTAATTAAAAAAAAAAAAATCTTGAGATAGTTGTTGGTAAGGATAGGTACATTTAGCAGCCTAGGATGATTTTGTGTTGATAGCTTTTGTGTGTTAGGTAAGAAAATCTGTGAGGACACCTTGTCTCATGTGGCCTCCAGCTCTTTTTTTTTTTTTTGGGAAGGGCAGTGTTGCAGTTTTTCCTGAGCCCAGTGAGCAGGACTGAAGGAGCCACTTGCCCTCACTAGACTTCCACCCATGGCTCTCTTACAGTATGTGAAGTTTATAAACTAGGAGAGAGACAATTAAAAGTAGGCTAGAAACTATATTGCTGTGCAGGAGGAACTGGAGCTTGAAGAGGGGATCAATGGAACATGTCAAATTCTAGTACCTGGCTGCTGTAGTGCTAGTCTGTTCTCCGAATTTACTGTCCTGACCCGTCAGTAGGTTGGTGACTCCCAAGGCAAGGCAGTAAGTGAAAGTTCAAACCTTGCCTTGGTCAACTCTTTAAAAAAGTAATTACTAATTCTGTTAGCTCTATAAAGACTTAAGCATAATCTGAATTGGATACTGAAGTGTCTACTTGGGAATTCTTGCCTATTGTTATTGCCTGAAAGCACTGGGTGATTAATTTGATGGACATTGTCTTCATAGGCTTTTTACACCCCTTGTGGATTTCTATCTTAAATATGCACTGCTGCGATGTCAGTCCTAACATCTTTTGTTGCTTTGGTGATCATGTACAGGCAGATTATTCTGCGTGCCATTCATTGATTTCTATTTATATATAAACATCTTGAGAGTGCAAACCACATCTGAGACCCTGTGGGTGAAGCTGCCCCTCATGGAACCAGTAAGGCAGGTCAAGGGAATTCTCATATTCCCTCTTTCTATGAGAAGCAGGTAGTTGTTTGATATAAATCTGCCTTTTTAGCACATTCAGTATTTGACAACATTTTTTTTTTTTTACTTGCTTTTTTGAATTTTAGCGATAACATCACAGCTGTCTCCAAATCTACAATGGTTTGTGCAGATAATAGCAGTACTCTGTGAGCACATATCCTGTCTGTTCCCAGGGAAGGATACTCCCTGCACTGGTGTTATTTCTACAGCTAAAATTAACCTGTGTGCACCCTGTAATTTAATTATATGTGGAGGCTGTTGAATTTTTTAGATAGGGGTAGTGATGTTATATCCCTCATTATCATCAGGATGTGTTGTACTGACACTGGTTTTTGGTTCCACTAATTCCTTCTGCCTGCTTCTTGCCCTCTGAGTGAAATTGGATGCCCCTCCCTTTTTGTGATTTTTATAGTAATCAGCAAATAGAGCTGCTGTGCCTGTTACAGTTGGAATTCATGCGTGTGTCTCCAGCATGCTGGAGTGAACTCAGTTTAATTACTTCTTGTGGGGAAAAATGAAGCTAAACATGCCATCTCACTCTCAGGTTTGCAATTAGATTAATCTTTTGCTTGTCATGGTCTAGTTTGACTCACTGGCTATTTCCAGTGTAGCGTGACACTTACGCTTGGTCTAATCTTGTCGATGAAATGCCTTTCTCTTATAGAAATCCTGATGGTCACTGCTGTTCCATAACCCGTGTTATTAGAGGAAAGGGTTAATGTAGCAGCCAAGCTTGATGTTTCCCCCAGCAGAAAACCAGGAAACCTTTGGCACTAGTGTCAGTAAATGCATATTTTCTAGGTTTTTTTTTCCTCTTCTTCACCTATTCCAATGAGGGCGGAGGAGGGAATTTTATTAACCTATTGATTCTGACTCAGAAGCAATTACTTTCTAGATCTTTATGGGCTGTATTAGTCTGTCAGCTTTCATGTTTTGATTTTCATCCCTTATTCCCTGTGCTTAGACTTCTATTCTTTGCCCTTCTGTCTTCCTAGTAACT